AAGTAATCTTAAATTTTTCATTTTAAAATTGGGTATTTTAAAAATCTTTGTGTTTTCAGTTTACTGAAGTGAATTTTAAGTTTAAAGTATATATCATAAGAGTATTCATTTTATATCTTTCTAGCAACAGGTTAGCTGAAGAAAAATCTGTCAAATTTGGCAGTAGTTCAGAAAATATGTGAACCTGTCACAGTAAGCAGTCTCAAAGGGCGAAATGCATTACAGGAGCTAATTAACCTTAGAAAATAATTACACAAATATGCAAATGTTGTTTAGATAATTCCATGTGTTATCAGCACAGGTAGTCCATCATAAATGCAGACCTTGCAATGCCTAGGTAGTAGAATCTGGCATGGTCGATAAGGCTTTGGTTACTCATCACTTCTGTTTGGCATTTAAGGATTAATGGTGGCAAGAGTACACCAGGAAATTCAACCTGTACTCTTAATATAGCAGAATTCCATAGTGTAAATATCCTATAAAGTCTGCCACCAGCAAAATCTAATTAATGGATTTACTTCTTGCTTTTTCCGTGTACTTTATACGTTTGCATATTCTCAAATCATCCAACTTGAATCAAGTTACTCAATACAAAATGCATTATAATGTGAAATTTATGGAGAAACGTGTACAATTTAGTGTATTTGCATTTCTGTAATTGAAGCATATTAGGAAGCCTTTACTATTGAAATCTGTTTAATCTCAGAATACACTATTGATAATATATACACTCTGGATTATAGTTTATAAATATATAATGATTGTGCACACAGTGTGGACTGTGGGTTGGAATGACACAAATTTGCCTTGGTATAGCATCACTTCATTTATAAAATTGAGATTTTAGTTTGTAATATTTGTAATGTAACACTCCAGAATTATACATTTAATTGACTCTAATTAATTCCTGTGCTTAACTGAAGAATTTTTTAAATCCTAAAATATGGGGATCTCTCTCTCTCTCTCTCTCAAATACTATCGATAGTAAAAAAACCTTGGGAAAGAGAGCCAAACTGTTTATAGCTAAGATTTATCTCCTTTATTACCTGTTTTTTAAAGTAATATTTTGAATAAAACTCTGTCACTAATTCTTCAAGAATGGAGTCAACCTTCTTTTGATGATTCAGGATCACTGTTGTCCCTGTCAGTTATTGTGCTTTAAATACAGTACTGCCCTTACCTTGCTCAGTGATAATACTCATAGTCTCAGACTGTATGTGCTCTTTGAATTTTTTATAGTTTTTCTATTTCTTAAGTTACTTTGCCTCTTGTAAATTGTAGTGGACTTTATACCTTCATATCTAAAAAATTCTAAAGACCATGCTCAGATGCTAATTCTCTCCAAGGAGTCATCAATAATTAGAATAGTATTTTTGACTTTTTGTTGTTTATATTTTTATTATGAAAAGCATTACTTTGTAGATATATAGATGGTTCAGAAAAGTGTAAAGAAGTTATAAAGAGAAATATTTATAATCCTATAGTCCATAAATAGTATATCTGCTTTTAATAGTTTTGTTTACTTCTTTTGAAATGTCTTTTTTAAAGCTATCTTATATAGTGAAAATTATACTACATATAAAATCAAATGAGCTCCATGCATTATATGTTAAATTCATCAAATAGGTAAATACTATATCCTTAGACTGATAAACTATAATTTATTTAACTACTTCTCCATTATCAAATATTTAAGCTTCATTCAAATTTTTGCTGCTATAAATGAGAAAGTGATGAATATCTTTGAGCATCAGTCTTTTGCCATTTCCAGATTAGTAGAAACTAGATTCATTTTCGTGTTTAAATACTCCTTTTTTCTTTTTTTGTAAACATACTCCATAATATTTTGTCCACATTATTGTTGTCAGTAACACTAACATTGTTAGTTGTTATTGAGTGATGATAGCATGCTTTGTATTTATAGTTGGAATCCAAAAAATAATGTCTTCAGGTTACTTATATTTTATAAAAGGAAGAAGAAATAACCTGAAAGATTAAAAATAAATGAGACAAAAAAAACAATGAAATGGTATAGGATTCAATTTAATCTCCCATGACTGATAGAACAACTGGTAAGTAATCTTGAACAAACATATTTTGCAGTAGTTTTAAATGTGACATGATACTAACACAGGTCAGTTATAAGATTTTGTGGGTCAAGTTAAACCCTTGTCACTTCTGCACAAGATTCTAATCTTCAGTTAACTTGACATTTCCCAGGAAGACTGATAAGGAGATGTTTTAAGTTGGGTTTCCCAGTTTAATGAATTTTGAAATGGAGATTTGTATGCAAGAAGTTTGTTCAGGAATTTTCTTGCGATTACCTCCTATTAGGAAGTGGGGAAAAAAATAGAATGAGCAGAAGTTGCAGTAGTCACAACAAAAGTCTAAGCTTAGAAAATGTATCTATAAGGTCAGGTTTCATTACATAGCCCCAGTACAATTACTGATAAGCTCTTTCTGCATTCTCCAGTGTTTGTATAATAAATTTTGTGATCGTTTCATATGAATATATAGAAATGTGTTAAGTATGTATGGTCATTTAAAAGAATAGCTGTAAAGAATACATTTCTGTAACAGCCACCACAGTCAAGAAATGGAACCTTGGAAGCCACCAACAGTCACAACTATTTTCCAGTCACAACTCATTTTTCCTTAGCTGATTTTTATGATACTGATTTTTATGATAACCATTTTCCTACTTTTTAAGTTTATGAAAGGTAATTAACAAAGTCTAAAAAATCACTACTACTGTTTCTTTCTAATTATTATTTTTTCATTCATATTATACACACATCTTAGGTATGGGTAATTTCATATTTATGTTACTAATATTTATCTTTAAAGTATATTTGTATTTTCATATATGACTGTAAAGTTATAGGTAATCAGCTTGAAGAGAAATATTGGGTTTTTATTGTTAATTATTACATTGATATTTAATGAGCAAGAAGACAAAGCTATTAGCTTCAAGAATTTGATAATCTTAACAAGCAATCACAGCATAGATCCTTTACTGCACTAATGGGAAGCACACGCAAGATGTTGTTAGAGAATGTTGTCTAACCTTGGGGTGACATTGAATACTTTCTAGATACCTCAGTTGGGGACCAAAGACAAGTAGGATTTGTACAAATAGGTGAAGGTAGTAGGTAAATTGAGGGTAGAGCTCAAGGGTCACTTCCCAATCAAAGGAAATAGTCCAGAAACAAGAAGAGTATGGCACAACTAGGGTTACTGCAATTTCCTCCTTGCAATTGGTACACAGAGAGTGATCCCTGTTTTCTCTCAGAAGGCAAATGATTTCTTTTAGTTACTGCATTTTGCAGGACAATGGTGAGAGATTCTGTACTAGAGATAGATGGATACCAGATGATGAAGTGCCTTGGATATCATACCAAGGAATATAAATTTCATCTTGAAGGCAATGAGAAAACTTAAGAATTAAACAGGAATTGACTGACTTGGCAACATGATTGTATTTGCATTTTGGGGAAGGAATTTTGGGGAAAAGAATGGAATTCTTTCTACAGAGTTAAAGCAATCCTAGAAACAGAAAAACTGGGATAGAGATTGTGTAGTCATTCACTTGTGAAGTTTTATGAGAAAAGTGGACAGATTTAAGAGACAGTTGGAGACAGAGTCAACAGGATTTTGATTAAATGAGGATTTTGAGGGAGAGAGAAGTAAAAAATTATGCTCAAGTTTCACTTGGATACAAGGAACAGATAATATCACAGGTTTGGAGAATAAGTTTTAGTATAATGTTGGATTGGTTGAGTTTGAAGTTTCTATGGGCCTTCCAAAAGGAAATGATTAGTAAGCAGTTGTCTTTGTGAATGTGGAAAGAAATCTAGGGTAGAGATTGATATTATGAAACAATAGCTTAATAAGTTATTGTAAAATTCCTAAGTTGAAAAATTTGTCTTGATTTTGGAATCCATGACATCATACATTCTTAGGAAATTAGTCTGTTACTGTTAAAGCATCTAAGAAATAATTGTACAAAACATTTTCTTGATGTTTAGTTCTTAGCAGTTTATTTTTTTATCAGTATTATTTAGTTTTTTAATTTTTATTGTTTTAGTTTTTACATTATCTAGGTTTTAGCTTTAGCCATAATATGTATCAACAGTAGAAATAAATACATCGAAGTGAAGTTACTCAAGAATTTTTCAAATTTTGAGCAATATATATATAGATTTATTAGGATTTAGCTAATTAGAAAGAAATGTGGAAACTATGTTTATATATTGATGTTTCTTACAGTTCTATAAATAAAATATATATAAATGTGGCTGCATAACCAATGTGATCCTGCAATCTGTACACGTGGGAATAATAAGAATTCATACCCCATTTGAATCAAATGTATGATATATGATATGTCAAGATCAATGTAATGTTTTGAGCAACTAATAAATTTCTGAGGTTTAAAAAAATTAAATAAATATACACTTTTACAAACAAACAAAAAAAAAGAAAATGCTTTTAGAAAAAAAATGTTTTTAATAAATTCAATAGAAAATATCCATTGTTCATTTTTCTCCTTATTTTCAGCTTAGTTATTTATAATCTTATCAATCAAATAATTTAGATATAGGTATACTGCAAACATTGCCAGATGTAAGTATAGGAACATAGCTAAATATTTAGTGTTATGTTCTTTGAATCATAAAATCACTATAACTGTCAGCTAATAATTCTAATGTACTTAGATGTGTTTTAATATCTCAGGTATACCTGGATTGTTCCCCCTAAAAATTCAGTTTATTTTAAATAATTTGTTTCAGAGTTAAGCTTAGCAATAAAATACTAATAGTTTTAATACTAATTTATTAATTAGCATTTATTAATTTAAATAAATTTATTAATTTAAATTTTCAGTGTAGTTCTTTTGTTATTGTTTTAAATGCACTATAACCATTTTATGTCTTACATGTATGCAAACATATAATTAAATTATTGATTACTGTGATAGTAATTTGTTTTCTTTGTAGGAGAATGGTTCTCCTGAAGAACATGCCATCTATGTTTGGGACCATTTCATAGCCCAGTCTGCAGCTGAGAATGTATTTTTTGTTGCTCACAGCTATGGAGGACTTGCTTTTGTTGAACTGGTAAGTGCACATTTAATTGTATTTTTAATTTTTAATTCCCATTATCCTTAAAGTTTTATTTCCTGTATTCCCTTTTTCAGTATCATTATTTTAACTTATTATATAAAGGATGAGAGTAGATATCTTGAGTAAACAAATTTGTGATATTTATGAAGAGTATAAAAGTTTAAGATGACAGAGATTTTCAGTTTAACCAGAATCTCTTTACCTATTCCTTATTTACATATATTTTTTAAATTTCTATATTGTAGTCCCAGTTTCTACACATTTCATATTTATATCTCCTGTTTTTTATGTGTTCCACTGAAGCTTATATTTTCTGTAAAGTATATAAAACTGGGAATATTTTGATTTTTCACTGACATTTTATCTCTATTATTTAGTACTTGATACTTGGTCAGGATTTATATAATTAATACTAAAACTACCAGAAAAATTCCATTAATATGATTCTAACTAGAATGCATTGCTTGGCCTTGCATTTCAAAAAAAATTTGTATTTAAAAATAATTGGACTTTTCGAGTTCATGTGTAAAATTATGTGTACATGAGAGAAAAAGCTACTAAAATTTCTGAATTTTGTCTTTATTATATGCAGTATCACAAGCAGCATAATCTTATGCCAGTGTGGCAATTGTGATATAATCAATACTAAAGAAGCACTAATGAAGAATTTGTGCCTCCATGTCCATACTCCCTTATGTCAAGAAGATACCATTACTATAATAAAATGATTAGTGTGATAAAAGTACATCTGATAATTTTAAATCCAAATGGATTAAAGCAAACATTAAAAGTAGGCACAATATCAATTGTCTAATTTTTGTGTTTCTAGACTTTGGTGAGTATTTCTGTATGTCATGGAAACTAAATAAATTCTCATGGACTTTTCTACTGCTTTATGCATTATTGCTTCTTTGGATGATGTAGATTTAAAACTGATGGTGACTTCTGACACTTGAGAATGCTTTAGCCTACATAAATCTACAAATTCTTAAGCTATTTTAAGATCAATAAGTAAATTAAATCACTTATTTCTTTAATTTACTTCAGTTTTTAGGGATTATTTTCAAGTAATTTTCTCTGCTAAAATTATTTATTCATATATAACAGATATCTTAAGTTAGCTCTTTAGCACATTAATGTGATATATTTTTAAAAATATAAATGTTACTTTTCAAAGAATTCCTTCCAACACCTACAGATACATAATTATACAGACATAGATGCAGATAGCTTATTTTTTCTCTATAAGCCATTAAATTACTTTAAACAAACTTTTTGGACTTGTAGAGTGACTTAAAATATGTGAGAACCTGAAACATTCATCAAATTTCAGATTTCTGTGAGAAATAGAGTCCTTTTTATTTTTCTGCCTTTAATTTATAAAAACCTTTATCATACCAAATTTGGAATTTAAGTGTATTTTGGACCATTTTAAAAATGAACTTAAGATGCCAGGGTTGACAGATGACCAGTATGTCAGTCCTGTTTTGCCTGTCCTTCTTGTCACACACTGGTGGATATTTCTCCACTTTTGTTCCACTTTAATATAAAGCACACAGATGTTTCAGAACAAGACTTGACTTCTGACCTTGAGGCTATTAGGGTCAGGGTCCTCAGGGCCTGTGAAATTATCACAAGCTGAGCTAAAGTTTTTCTCCATCACAGGAAGTAACCAGTAAGTAAGAAGTTAAAAAGGAGCTTTGTCAGAGAGACAAGATGGTCTCAGTAAGGGTCAGCTTCTGTAGTCTGCTATCTCTGCAGGAGGCACATGCTTGGGAGGAGGAATATAATATAACCACTGGCACATCACATATCTGTCAGGCAACACTAGGGCTGAGAAGTCTATTTAATGTAATATACCTTGTTTAGTTTTTAAAATATGAATGGCAATTATCTCAACTTCATATATATGCTACTTTTTGAGAAATAAGTGATTGTAGTATGTAATAGAGGTATACAGATGGTGGCAACTGAAGAAAGAGTGCTTCCTGACCTAATAAAATGGATCCTCTAAGCAAATAACATTGTATACTGATGAGTTTAACCTTAATATTTTACAAACTCGATGAAAATATTTAAGTTCATTATGTTTCTTTTTTAAAAGGCTTTTTAAAAAGCATTGTTAAAGAAACCAAATACTGAAATGCTTTTAAACCTTTTGCTTTTGCTAAAACTAAATAATTTCTTTCATATTCTAATATTCTTAGGGAAAAGTCATGGTGTTTAAAATGTTAACAAATATTTATTCTCTCTGGATTTTTCAATAGAATATATGAAATTATTTTACATGGATTCAAAATTTTAACATAGCTTTACAAGAAAGTGAACTGTGAAGATTAATATATAAATCATAAATTATTAATTAGTTTTTTATCTCAATAGTGCATTTTATTTATATATATATACATACATATACATATGTGTGTGTGTGTGTGTGTGTGTGTATATATATCATACATCAGAAACTTTGGATTCCAGTAAGTTTAAATTTTTTCTTTGTTTTTTCAGTGCTAGCCATCAAACTCAGGGCCTTGTGTGGTTCTCTCTTTTTCTCTCTCTTGCTCTTAGTTTGCAGCATTATGTGTGAATGTATCATTTTTCTACCACTTATTTTATACCTGCTGTAATTATTAACCATAATTAGAATGTACCAGATTCATCTGGAAGACAACTATATAAACAAGTTCACTGGGGTGTTGTTTTGTTTGTTTGTTTGTATTTTTTCTGTGCTGAAGATCAGATCCAGGGCTTCACACATGGTAGGCAAGGCATTGTGACATTAAGCTGCATCCCAGCCCTTTTTAAATTTTTTATTTTGAGACAGGGTCTCACCAAGTTGCCCAAACTGGCCACTAACTTTTGATCCTCCCACCTCAGCCTTTAGAGGTGTTTCAGACTTGCACCATCGTGCCTTGCTCACATTCTTCTTTAGGTCATGAATGTCAGAAAAAGTTATTTTAATGTAAACTGTGTGACAAGTACAGTTTCACCAATAAATGCAATTACTTTTAGTACTTATTGTTTGACTAACAGGTACCAGTCAGGACTCAGGATGAAATGCATCTTGACATCCGCTAATAGAAAACTGTGTATAATTGTTGGTTAAAATTAAATGTGCTGCTAATAGATATCTGAAGATAAACTACTTTTAAATTATTGAGCTTTCATATTATACTAGTTATTGTTTATTAAAACTGAGAACATTGATTATTTCCTATGTTAAAATGTTGACTTTCTCCTGTAAAAGATGTTATTTTCAAAACCAATGCTCATTTTTGGGAGTAAATCTTGGACTCTAAACAGATCTAACTTCATGAACACAATTTACAGTTTGTGAGAAAAATTATACTAAAAAACTACCTTTCTCTGCTTTTGCTTACATCGTATAGTAACAATTCACATTTCTAATTTGCTAAATTTTCTATGATTCTAGTAAAAATTAGTATTGATAAAACTGTTCTTATATCTCTCACAGAGTTCAGTCACTACAAATGTAAGTATTTAGTTTATGAACTGATAATGAATGTTTGAAAGCAATCACTTTGCAGTTATCAGTTCTACATATTTAAAGTGTTGCCAATATTTAAATTTACAATTATTAAATGATCATTTCTGTCTTAGAAAATTTATTTTATAACTTGTGGAATTAGTAATCATAATTAGAATGTACCTACCAGATTCATTTGAAAGACATCTACAAATAATGGATCTTACTTTTGTCTTATTAGCTGTTAAAACTTAAGGCTGTTTTTAAAAATTAACTGTCATTTTAAAACAAGGCAATATTTGACCTTTTTCATTATTTCTTCTCCATCACTTTAATAAAGTGATTCATTGCTTCTATTATTAGCCGTTTCAGAGTGTTTTGTTCTTGTCTTTCCAAGTGATGATCAGTTTGGCAAAATGAAGTAACCTTAAATTTTTCCTTTTTTGAAAATGAACTGGTTTTCCTTGTCAGTACCCAGTCACCAATCTCTGCTCACCTTACCATATCAATAAATCAATTTGCATTCAGATTTCATTCCTTAAATAAATGTGCTCATATTTTTTGTAAAACATATTAAATATTTTATTAAATGTTTCACTAGTTTATTGAATACTCTGAGCTGATTAAAAAAATCATTATCTTTCTTATTATTTATGTTTCCTTTCCCATGTTATTAGTGGTATGTTCACAACCACCATTAAAAACATCACTTAGAAATGCGTGAAAACAGCTTCTTTTGAAAGTGTCTCTACCCACTTTTGATTTTGGTTTCTCCATGCTTGTCAGCACTTGATTGGCATCTCACTTGCATGTGAATTAAGGAATGAAGGGAACTCTATTTTCCTGCCATTGTTCCATGCTGGGCTCCCTGGCCTCCAGGCAGCCTAAGCTGCCCTTGAGCAGCTGATAGAGGACTAGTTTTTGGAGGAGCTATGTGAGGACACTCAACCTCAGTCTACTTTCAGTAGATCTTTTTAAATTGCCTAGAGCATGATTTAGAATTACACTGAATAAAAGGTAGAATAAAACTAAAGTTATCTTTTACCTTTAGAGATATCAATTAACTATAACCTTAAAGAAGTAATAATTTATTTTGTCCATAAAGAACAAAGTAAATTGGACATTTGTAAAATGTCTGCTTAATGTGATCAATGGGAATACCTAAAAGTTAGAGTGCTGGGAATCAAGAATTGAGGGGAGGTAAAATGAGAGAAGATAAGTCACAGAAAAATTGAGTCAAAATAGTATCAAAAAAATTCAGGCTGAAAACACTCTTACAAGCCTACTTTAAAATCTAGGTAAAAAAAATCTGAAAAATAAGGTGTCATTTCAGTAAAAACTACAAAAAATCCTAATTAGTTTGTTTTTAAGTTGTTTTGTGTGTGTGTGTGTCTATCTTGACTTGCCCAAATGATCTAGAAACAACTTACGAATAGATCTAATATTGTCCCCAAATTTCAGAACACAAGATATTACAATCTAAATAGTTAAATATCCTACAGTTACT